TGTGACACACACACACACACACACACACACACACACACACACACACACACACACAGAGACAGTCACAGTTTGAAATGAGTCAACACTCTGTCCTCTATAGACAGTGCCTATATCCATCCCTGTCGTATAGTTATTTCTAATTCTGAGGTCTCCTGAGAAATACGAGTTGTGTAATTATCATTATGTTCTTGGCCCCTTTTTAAAATTCAAACGGTCCACTCACACTTAACACATCCAGCATAATGGTATTTTATGAGTTGCTCTGGCTCACGCTGTAAATTGTGGCATTTGGAGATTTGACAGTATTTATATTTAGTGTTATGTATCATTAACATGTAGTTTGGGTATATTGTACAGCATATAATCAGCACCCCTATATTTTTCAGTAGTTGCTAGGAATAGTTGCTATTAATTGGATTCACTCACAGGGAAACATGAAATTTCAGGCACATAAATAAATTTAAATACATTTTTATATAATATTCTTCCAGTTTTTCAGTTTCATTGTGTATTCAGATCTGTCCCAGAATTTGACGATATTGGAAGATTCTCATTTGGTGCCATGAGTTCGGAAAGATGATGACAGATTATTCATTTTTAGGTCCCTTTAATGCACACAACTGAATGCACTGAATTCAGGTTATTCAGTGGCCACATACCCAGAAAAGTTTTGGAAGTGAGGGCATCTCACAGCTGTAAACAAGAACTGTCCCTACATTAATTTTTCAAAGGTGAATTTGGTTGTAGAATGTAATCCTAACTAATCCATAACTCTGCATGTACAGAACGACATAAAACACAACAGGACTGACAACCATATTTACATTTGTATGCGACCAATCTGAACTGATGCTTGAGGTTGTTTGTCACTTCCTGCTGTTATTTATATCATAGGTGTTGAGGAGAGAAAAAATGAGAAGAGTGCTGAAAGTGAGGGGGATGATGAAGAGAATGAGAGATTTGAGGGTGTTTGGAGCAGAAATAGCAGTGAGGAAGTAGGGCAGGTGCTCAGGGCCCCAGCAGATCTGTCCTTCACTGCAGACTCTACACTGGGGCTCTACTTCTCATATGTAAATAATAATGACTGTGTGTGTACTTAGAGTGAGTAGGTTCTCATTCACACAGAATTAGAGGTGAATATTCCTGCTTGAGGAGATAACATACAGTACATGTAGTCTGCAACTAGACGTCTCTGGATTTTTCTTTCAGAAGAAAAGAGTAAATAAATAACCATTTTCATTTATACATATACCGTGTTTAACCACACATACACACTTTGAGAAGAGACCATATTGACTTGAAGATCCTTATTGGATAAATAGGATGAATTGGATCCTATTTATTATATTCCCATACATTTCACAAATTTTTAAAACAATTTATGAATTAGCCACGTGTTGTGTCTAGACAGACATCTCAAAGGTGACTGCGACAGGTGGCAAGACCAGCTATAGCAGCACCATACAGAATCAGTAAGCAGCATTCAGACATGATGATTTCTTAAAAAACACTTCTGATCTTTCTACATTCTTTGTCGATGAAACTTTTTGTGCCAGTCACCTGAGCTGTAAATGCTAATCACACTGCAAAACACCTATTAATCGATTAAGAGTTAAATATCGCTTGAATTTGTTTTGTCAGAATTGTTGAGTGTTTTTAAATGTCAGTCATGGAGAAACATTTTTTTTTTTGTCTGCACTGTAAAAGAGAAACAGATACAACGATAGAGAGAGTGAGAGGAATGCCTGTTTATCAAACTATTCATAAAGATGAGTCATCTTGTCCATCCCAGACTCTCCATCACAGAGGCTTGCATCACTTCACAACTTTTCGTGTGTGTGTTTTAAGTATCAGTGTGCTGTTAGCTCATACTGTAAATGCGCACACACCATGAACCATCAATAAACACAAATTAGCTCAAATACCAATACACATGACATATCTGCTGCCTTGAGATTTTTAGAAATCTTATTTTTCTCTATTCACAGTTGCACTTGCTAGAGTAGACTGAACAAACAATAAGACATGACCTGAATCATGTTTAGCCTCATGTTTTATTTTTCTGGCAGAACATGACCTAACATAACATTTTAAATTAAATTTACTCAACCCTTATGTCATTCTAAACCTGTATGGTTTTCTTGATTCAGTATTTTTGACAAACATCCTGGCTACTCTTTTCAGTGTAATGAAAGTAAAAAAAAGAGCTGTTGCTGTATCATAAAGTATCGTAAAAGTAATTCATATAATTTATGATTTCGATTTTAAATCTTCTGTGTGATGAACAGACTCCTGGTGCATTCATTAGAAACTGTGATGTCCAATTCTTGAACAAATTGTTCTTTTGAACCTTTCTTTTGAATCGCAAAACTTTTTTTTCTTTGCAAGACTTGAAATATATGTGCTATTTTAATGATCTTTAAAATACTTTTACTGTGCCTTTGAAGCTTAAAATCTCCCCTCATTCACTGGAACTGAGGGGACCAGGCAAGGGCCACTTGTGCTTTAAGGGGGCACACTTTTAAAATTCATCTTAACCTCTTTTCAGTATTATTCAGTCAGTCATTTTTAACCATGTCATGTATCACTGCAATCTCTAGAAGTAAGCAATAACCATTTCAACTCTCTGAAGCACTCGGTCTCTGCATGAGTTCTCGCTTTGAGTAATTTCATAAAATAACATAAAAGTTATGGCACGATGAATTACTTTTTTTCCATTACTGCCACCCACAGGACAAACTACGCATTGCACCCAAAATTGTTTGGTGTGATATGATTCCAAATTTAG